TTCAAACACTCCGCTAACTTTAATAAATAAACTTAATTATGCCTAAATCCCTTTAAAAATATTAATGTCACTATTTGATTTTAAGGCCCAGCTGTTTTTAGAGGTGGGTGATACCAGAAATTTTGAATCGATACCAATACCAAGTAGTCTGAGTATCAGTATCGATGGTATCAAGTACTGAATGAGTAGTCAGCTACTGCACATATGTGCAAATAAGTTATAATTAGTTATGAATAAAAATTAAAGGAAACGAGCTGCCATTTTTATAATTATGTAAGGGTGTGACCATCATTATGACATCAAAAAAGGTGTGATTGGGTGCAGTCTCTACACTACTCGATACCAGGATTTGGTATTGAGTAATTGGTATCAGAGGCCTGGCGTTTTCTTATCGTCACATTTTCTTGTGGCCAGATTATGCACAGACCCATAACCTCACTAATAATATTAATTATTAATAAACAACAAAAAAGATTATGTAAAGGAAACAATGATTGAATGATGATATTATTCTGTATGTACAGCAATTTTAACAATTATGTGTAGCAACAAAAAATAAAACAATAAAATAACACTAATTTAATCAACAGTACCAACATCAATAATAATTACTATAATATATTACACATATACACATTTCTTATCAATAATTTTCGCACTACCAATTTTTAATATAAAAATGATTCTAATGTACAGTACATGTATTAACTCCTCTTGATTTCGATTGTCAGTATTTTACTAACAGTATAATGATGCTATGGTAGACTCCTCGAAGTTTCAATTGCATAAATAGTTCCGTGAAATCCTCGACATATTAATGAGAACTCGGATACTTTATGTCTGAGGGTTTCTTTGTCTCCGCGGGCTCTTAGAACTGACTGCATGAATACTTGCTTCTCCAAAGAGCTGGCTTGGACTGTTGGGAAACCTTGCTTTGATAGTAGTACCTAATAATAGAACAGATACGTTACTATTTATAGAATATATAATAAGCTATTATTGTCTATAAATATAACAGATACATGTACATTACTTATTATTATAAGCTATAAATAGAACAGAGACGTTACTATTTTTAGAATAGGGACTTTTACCTGATTTTTTGAGCAACTTTAAACATTCATAAAAATTCAATTTCGATCAGAGTTAGCTCAAACTTTCTACGCAATATAAGTACATGTATATGTATCAGAAAAATTATTAAAATGGAGATATCTCTACTTTTCAACTTTGGCAAAATTTGGACTAAGACATGATTGGACTTGCATGATTTATGTCACTATT